AGAGCTTGAAAAAACCCGCAGTCGCACCATATGTCCCGTAGATTTACTCTTAACGACACAGCTTCAATCCCTTGAAGAGGTCGCGACAACTCTGTGACACGAAATAATTCATGCATTCTAGAGAAGCTTATTATAGACATTCTATTTGATGCAACAATTTTTTTTGTAGATCTGCAACTAATATAGGGTGATAGACATGACCGCCTTGCATCCAGGTTTGAGCTTGTCCCCCGAGCTTCGTAAAAAGCGCCCCCAAACGAAAATATATAGTTTTTACCAAAGCCACTACAGGTAAGTGACGTGCACCCTTTAAGGTCGAATTGATTGCCTCAGCCAAGTTGGTCGTCATGTGTCCACATTGATATACACCATCATATGTGTTTGTCCACATTTCTTTATCGATGAGGCAGATGTAATCTTATCCTTCCTTGTTCTTCGCCCGCAAATCTTAAAGCATGTATTCAAATGTTTGAGGTAGTAGTTCGTAACCTAATCATAAAATGTAGAACTTACTAACTTTGTTTCTTTAAAAAATGAAAATGATCAAAAGAAAAGAGGTGGTTTCGCTTACCCATGCGCACAAGTAATTGGCGATCAGCATTCTTCTTAAACCTTCCATGGTAGTTCGCAGCAATGTGTCAGATACAATACCTATGTTGGACAAATGGTGGTTGCCACAATGGACCCAAAGACTCCATTGCTGCTTTGATCCCAGCTCCGCGATCTGAAATGACACATATTTTCCCCCTCGTGATAACATGTGAATGTAAGTTTCGGATGAAAAAAGCCCAAGAATATGTATCTTCTCCTTCAACAAGAGCAAAAGCAACTGGAAGAATGTTGCGATTACCATCTTGGACAACTGCCAATAGTAAAACTTGCTTGTATTTTCCATACAAGAAAGTACCGCCGATCTGGACCATAGACTTATAGTATTTGACAGCATTAATGCACTGTGGGTAAGTCCAAAAAACCTGGTAGAATTGGCATCGATCGCGAAGAACTCGATCATTATGGTATGCATGGGAGGTTTTGTAGTCCACAATTGTCCAAGGATTCAACCTCCGCACCAGCCTAAACCAACTTGGAAGTTCGTTGTAAGATGCATCCCATTCGCCGTGAAGTTTTTTCATGGCATTCTGCTTTGCCTTCCATGCTTTTTTTTGTATGAGACAGAATACCCATAGTGCGATTGTATATATGAAATCAACACAACAATAGCTATATGTGAGCTTGCTTTTACCATGGGCATGATGGCTTGGCAGATCACTTAAGAGTCCAAGTTGGTATGATCTTGGTTGATCCCTCCAGCACAATATGTGTGAGGACCGTTGTATACCGTTAGTTCCCATATATTGTTTTTCACCTTCCTCTTTGATACGTAAACCATCCAATTGCATCCGGTTTCTTGTCGGGCACAGTGGCATACATATTTTTTTGTCATAGAGCGACCGACTCTAGATTGAATAGAATTACGTATATTGTAATTTTTTTATAGCTATTATTGCTTTTTCTTTGCTTGAAAACTCCATGCCTAAAGATAACTTACCATTATTTATTGATGAGTAAAATCCATAGTCACCGAGATTAGGCATATCCGTAAATTCTGGCCCATACATTACACCATAATCTGCTTCATACATGTGTGTCGGAGGGTAGTTTGTGCCACATTTGAGGGAATTTCATCTACATCATCATCATCATCGGAGTTGAGTTGCGGTGATTCTGGGTGAATGAATAGTCCAATCTCAGCACCATCCGCACATGACTCACGACGCGGTTCTTCTAGTGGAGATGATGGTTCCTCCATGCTCTCCACATTTAGGTTAAAGAACCTACTACTTGCATGCCTTCCCCTTGAACTAGAAGGCATATCGACATTGAGATCGAAAAAGCTCGTAGTCGAATGCCTACCCCTGGAGCTTGAAGCCATTGTGTCAAATGAAAACTGCACATATTGTTGCGTCGAGGGCATCTCAATATTAAAGTCAAAGAAATTTGCAGATGAATGCCTTCCCCTTGAACTGGACGCGATGTTGCCATACAGATTGTTTGTGGACACACCTCGATACAGATCGTAAGAAGTTGCTGATGAATGTCTCCCCATTGAAGTTGATGGGAAGACAACATGATGTGGATTTCCCATTATGGCATTCAAATCACTATACATTACTGTAGTCAGGCTGTCAACCTGATCAACTTGTTCAGCCAGCCCATAGTGAGAGCTTAATGACAGACCCCGAACAGCACGTACTTCAACAAACTTTGCATACATCTCCGTATCGGCGTCTGAATAATTACTTTGAGAATCAACCATCATTTCAACATCATCATTATTCGATAGTTCGAACGCTGTATAAGTTAATGACAACAATGATGTTGGAAATCTGTACTGCATCGACGACATTCTTCTAGTACTTCCAACATGAACCTTCCTTGAAATCTTCGTTATCAGCTCCTCAAGAGTTATGTTTCTCTTGAATGATATTTTAACATAATGATTTGATACGAAAACAACATCGGTTTCATCTTCTCGAATTTCTTCATCATAATAAACAATAGCTGAAATTCATGTCATTCTTAGAGTTTGAAAGTGCGACAATATTATATATGCAAAAAAAAAACCTGAAACAAACCTAATTAATAAATAATATATGAATTAAAATATAACACAATAAAATTTTTACACATAAACATAAATAATTTTACACATAAACGTAAATAATTTAAATAATATAATTTTATATTATTACCGTATCGTCAAAAATATTTCGATTTATGCTTCCTCTTTCCAATTTTACAACCACAAAAATTAATTAAAAACAATTAATACAATTTTTTTTTCCAAATAATCATATATAATTATAAAAAATATTATAAAAAATTACATTATAACGAAAGATCAAACGAACTTTTGAATCAAATATAAAAAGATTGTCGGGTGTTTTTTACTGATTAAGAGGATTATTGTAGTAGTTGAGAGAAGTTGAGAGGGAGTTGTGAGAGAGTTTAGGGGGAGAGGGGTATTTATAGCGGAGAGGAGATGCTTTAAACCTGAGAAGTACGGACGCAATTATGCAAGGAGCGGCCTATGCACCGCTCCATTCTGGTGCATGTCATAATTGTAGGAAGGCACGACTCATGCACCGCGCTATACCCCTACGTGGCATAAGGCGCGCTCCATGCACTACGCCTTAGCCAGCGTATCGCCATATCAGCATAAGGCGCGGTTCATGGGGGGCGCCTCATCCCACGTGGCGCCAAATCAACGTAAGACTCGGTGCATGGGGCGCGCCTTCCTGCAAAGGGTGTTAGATCGGTAAATAAATATGAAAGGGTGTCTCACAAATAATTAAAGTTCTAAAGGATGATTTTTCGGTGTTATCGCCTCTTAATTTACATTATTTATCTCTTAATTAATTTAATTAGGTAAAAAAGCATATATGTTTTTATTTCTGACACGACATTTTGATGCATGATATACTGCAATCGATCCAATTTTTTTTCTGTGTACCCAATCAAAATCTGCGACTAATAGTGCTATTTACAATAAATAATTTTCATAATCTTAATTTCTTTATGAATCTTGTCACAACTATTAATTTTTGCATTATTGTAATGATTTGTTTAATACATCTATTATGTTATGGAGTTCTATTCTGTTGACTTTCATTTTCCAATTTTGACGGCCTCCAACATAAGAGGACGTATTCAATTTTGATTCTCTCACACTTTACCATGTATGTCATCAAGATTCAAGAAGGTTCTTTTTAAAGAAGTAATTTTTACTTTTTTAATAAAAAAATGAATAATTTTTACTTTTTTAATATAAAAATGAATAATTTTTACTGGAAGCGAAATTCTTATTTATGAATTACATAAATCTCATTAATCTAATGTAATTCTTTGCATAATAAATATTATAGAGTAATATAATGGTGAAAAAGCATGAGAAGGAAAAAGTCATAATAGAAAAAGTAAATGGCACTTTTAACCTTTCAATTTATATAAAAAAATTGAAGTAAAAAAAGTCAGTAGATCCAATGGAAATATAAAAGATGGCTTAGCACAAAAATAAATGTGTAATTTGTCTCGAAATACATTTTAGTAATTAAAGAATTTTTTTTTGTTAAAGTTAGGTGTAACGTTTTATCAGAGCACTTTTAAGTGCTTGGATCGTAACAATAGTTAAGTAATATGGGTCGAACTCTGGTAATATTGAGAATTTATTTTAAAATTTTAAAAAATAAAAATATTTTTTATTAAAAAAAATCCTCATGTAGAAGCATCGACCCCCTTTCGCCCTTCCCCCTTCCGCCTTCCACAGTTGCCTTCCGACTAGTCACGATCGTGACCTTCACCACCACCGTCGTTAGCACTGACGTCGACTCTTAATCAAACCCCTTTGGCCTTTCTCCTTAAGCTGTCACTATTTTTCGTGGAGAAGTGTTCGAAGGTTTGTCGGATTTTAAGCCACCATTGTTGTTTTTTGTCGATTCCGAACGATCCCGATGTCCATAAGCGACACCTTTACCACCATTCGAACCACCGTATATTTCTACTCAAAATCCATCCTCGTCGTCTCTCCGTCGGTGCTCCTATGACGTTCCACAGTTGGTAACGGGTTGAAATGAGAGATTTTAATTTTTTTAGAGTTTTTTATAATTTTATTAAATTTTGAGGTTCTTTTGTAAATAAATTATTTTTTTAAATTTTCTTTTTTTTTTTGGTTAAAAATAATATTTTTATTATTAAAAATAAAAAATATAATGAATATTTAAAAGTGTAATTGAGAAAATATTAAACATTAATTTTTAATAAAAAAATTTTAGACAGTATTTTGAGATAAAATTTATATACTTATTTTTATTTTTAACCATAAAAGATTGATGTGTGGTGGGTTTGATTTTGTGGAACCCCAAATTTCCAGGAAGGTTGGGAAGGAATATAAATGGTGGCCAATTGCCCAACGTGACCTCACCTCTCTAGCTAAGTGAAGAACCCGAACCTGAACCTGGTGCCGTCTCCCAATCAATAGAAGCACGACCCTTCCTTCCCCGCTAGGTTTATTTTATTCTCCTTTGCGGTTTCTGGATTCTTTGGTACATTCCTTCTCTTCAATTCAATTTTCTTCTTTATATTCCTCCCCAACTTCACAAAGCCCCTTTGTTTCTAAACCATATTTTTTCCCAATCAAAAAAGTTCATTCACGATGACTGCTGGCCAGAAATCTGTTCAGAGGTTTGCAAATCCTGTTTCCTTCTTTCTTCTTCCCTTTCCCTGCTTAATTATATATATATATATATATATATTGGATTTGCAATGGGTTGTTTTCGTTTTTTCATTGATCCAATGTGGCAATCTGGGTTCTTGTTATTTTTATAAGACTCGTAAATTTTGTGCTTAAAATGATCTTTCTTTTTCTTTTGATTATATGTTCTACTACTCTGATCGTTTCAAATCTTATGTTTTACTGCCATCGATCTTTTTCACAGTTTTACAAGCATTTCCGACTAGGATGTATTAATTTTATCACTTTATTTTTTTTTTGGAAATGCAGCAATGAATCTATTCCTGATCTTGCTCCTTTGGAAGCAGTATTGTTTGATGTTGATGGAACATTGTGCGACTCGGATCCTATCCACCACCATGCCTTTCGTGATATGCTCCTAGAGGTTTTTTTATTTAATTAACAAGTTCATTTTTTTTTCAATTTATCTATTTAGTTTCCTTTCAAGCTGAAGCAATTATTTGGGGTTTGATTCTAGAAGTTGTTGATGTGTTTAACAGATTGGTTTCAACAATGGAGTTCCAATTGATGAAGAATTCTTTATAAAAAATATTGCTGGGAGGCACAATACCGATATTGCTGCTACCCTATTCCCCGATGATCTACCGAGGGGCGAAAAGTTCTTGGATGATAAGGAAGCTATGTTTCGGAGGTAAAATGAAACTTTCGTTTCTATTGCGATCGTATTCGAGATCTCTGATTTGCTGCGTAGTAGCGCTTTGTAGTGTTAATGCTTTGTATGGATAAACAGGTTGGCCTCGGAGAACTTACCACCTTTAAAGGGCTTGTATAAACTGACAAAATGGATAGAAGATCGTGGGTTGAAGAGAGCTGCTGTTACTAATGCTCCGAGACTAAACGCTGAACTCATGATTTCGAAACTCGGCCTCAAAGATTTCTTCAATGTTGTTATTGTAGGGAGCGAGTGCGAGCATGCCAAACCTTACCCGGACCCTTACTTGAAGGCACTTGAACTTCTGAAAGTGTCGAAGGATCACACATTTATATGTGAGGTATGCCCCCCAACCATGTTTTTCTGTATCAGAAGCTATAGCAAATGCAAACTCGAGTTGAAAACTTGCTCTTTTTTCTTCATTGTCCAGGACTCTGCATCAGGGATAAGAGCAGGAGTTGCAGCTGGGGTGCCTGTTGTGGGGTTGACAACCAGAAATCCTGAAAATGTACTTACGGAAGCAAATCCTACTCTGCTCATAAAGGATTACGAGGATCCGAAGTTATGGGCGGCCTTAGAGGAGCTTGATAAGAAGGCAGATTCTTTGAAATCAGCAGTTTGAGCTTAAATGCCATAGCAGTTTAGGAGGTTTTACTCTATTTGCATAATAATTCTGTAGGAGAGGTCAAAACCCTTCCCGCTGTACCCAAATTATATTTGATAAGCAATACTCAAGATGGGATTGAATACTTTCATTGCTCGATTTCATTCCATGATGGTTATGATATTATCTTTTTTACCTTTCAACCTCGAACACAATACTTTCGGGAAACGGATTAAAAAAATTTCAGATTTACGGTAGATAGGCTGTAGACATGGACAAAGAAAGCTATTTACTTCACACTTCTACAAAAGTATTCCAAAGATGACTCTGGTTTCATCTGGCCCATGCAACTGAATCAATCTCATTGCTTGCAGATTTGTATAAATCAAGCCTCTTGACACATTGTTGCCTCCTTTCCATCAATGCAGGATCTCCATCTGATAACCGTGCTGGCTGCTTGCCCAACAAGAAAATAATGAAAACAGAGCAGCAAAGAACTCTATGCGTCGCAACACTCCGAATGTCATCCATTCACAATCAAATTACCGAGTTGTGGTATCAGATGGGTGTGTGAAATGAATGTATATGCATGTGAGAGAATGCAGGAGTAAAAACGTTTGGCACCTCCTTTTTATCCAGTTGTATATAGAAGTGATCAAGCAATGACTGCTTGGCCTCCCTCACTTGGCAATAAACCACAGCCTTAGGAAAGATAATCTAAGCATATCAGACACCATGCCTATATAAGAGTAAACATTTGATCCTATTCTGCAGAAGTGACTTTCAGTATATCTATCTGTAGATGAAAAAATTGGGTTTCCACCTTTCTTCAGTTCTCGGGGGGAGTTGCCGAAAGAAATCCAGTCAAGCATGATGACTCCATGTCCACCATCCGAAAAGTTGTGCTCTTACTCTCTTCACGAAACCTCTCTAATGCTTCATTTGCAGCTACTGTGATTTCAGCTGGGAGAGTTGGGAAAGCGCTTCAACTCCTGTTGAATTCCAAAAGATGAAATTACGTTCTACCAGTATCCCTAAAGTATCACAATTCCATCCATGAAGCTAGGGAAGTTTCAAACTCCAAACCCCTCTGCAATTGACCTCCTTACATGCTCTTTCGAAACAAAGTGAACCTGCAACAAAGTTCACCAATCACTGCAGATGAATATGCTTTTAAAGAATGAAAATGCAATAGATATTTGGTTTTATTTTATATCAAGCAAACAGCATAGCATGAACCCTCAGTAAAGAAAACGCCTACAAGGCTACAAAACCTCTCCATTCTACTTACCTCCAAGTAGTCAAATATAAAAGAGAACCAAGCGATTAAATGCACCATCAATGAGACGAGGGTAGCATTGCTCAGGAGCGACTAAATGCAATCGGTACCCATCTGCCTCTAAGACTACTTTCTTTACAAATGACAGTCAGATGGAAGCTTCCATAAAGCAGCAGACAGCTGGAGGTAAAAAACTCCATAGACGCAGTCTCCACCTGACCGCCTAGAGAATGGTTGGAACAGGATGATAAAGTATTATACCATTCATCTGTGCTGCAATAATGGAAGTGAAAAGAAAGGAGCTATAAATAGACCCTCCATTCAAGTTCTCCTTGAAGATAAGATCAAATTCTGGGCATAACTCCAGGATGGTGTATAACTGAGCCTGATATATAAAAGCAATAAATATAAGTTGATTAACAAAACCTATGATTTTCCATCCAACATTAAGAAATAAGAGAGCAGATTAGGCTTTAGATGCTCATTACCCCAGCAGCATCAACAGCAACATATATACCGAGATGGGACGACTCCGCTTCAAGTTCTCGATGCTTTTGTTAATTAAAGAAGTGATTTCAGGAAGCTGGGCTCTAATTAGGGATTCGAAATTTAACACCGAACACATATTCTAATAAATAAAACATACACGCTATGCAGAAAAACAAATAACTGGGAAGAACTGGCGCTCCTTCCACCTAGAAGCAATCGTGTCGACATTTTGTTAATATCAGCTTGTGAACGGTTGATGATTCCAACCCATGTTGAAGACTTGAAGTGGATAAGCTCTTCCCTCAAGAACCTGCATTTAATAAAATAGAAGAAGTAAACATGTTTAAGGAGAGAAATAAGCCATATATGTATGAATCCCTATTCAATGTATAACCAAAAAAACAAAGATCCTTGGAAATCCCAGTGCCTCTCGCATGCACAAGGAGCGCTCTACCGTATGAGCTACACCCCCGATGTTGAAATTTCGGAGCACTTTATTTTAATTATGTTTAAATATTGTTTCCTTAACACCTTAAAATCTGAAATCATCATTATATATGATTCAGAGTTGATTCTTTACATGATCTAAAACATCATCATCATCATCAGGAGGGCATAAAGGATTATGCTGAACATATTTCTATTGAGACGAGAATTATTTTCTTCAAAGTAAAGGGGTCAATCATTTTCTTATTAACAGGTGATCAAATGACTCCATCTCCATGTCCACCATCGGCAAAGTTGTTTTCTTACTCTCGTCACGAAACCTCTACAAAGATTCATTTGCAGCTGCTAGTTGGAAAGCGATTCAACTCTCTGCCGAATCCCAAAATATGAAATTACGTTCTTCCATTATCCCTAAAGTATCACGATTCCATCCATGAAGGCTGAAGCTGGGGAAGTTTCAAACTCCAAACCCGAGTCTCTGCAATTGACCTCCTCACAAGCTCTTTCAAAACAAAGTGAACCTGCAACGAAGTTCACCAATCACTGCAGATGAATATGCCTCTAAAGAATGAAAACGCATTAGATATTTATTTTAGATCCAGAAAACAGCATAGCATGAACCCTCAGTAAATAAAACACCTACAAGGCTACAAAACCCTTCCATTCTTCGAGTGGTTGTAAAAAATAACAGAGAACTAAGCAAGTTAACAAGAAAATGCCACCTTGAAAAGGGAACTTAAAGCATCAACAGAATCCTCACTGGGTCTGAAGTACAACAATGAGACTCGAGCGTGATTAAATGCGGTTGGTACCCATCTGCCTCCGAGACTACTTTCTTTATGTTTTGCAGTGACAAATGACGTTCAAATGGAAGCTTCCTTAAAGCAGCAGGTAGCTGGTGGTCAAAAACTCCCTAGACGCGGTCTCCACTTGACCGCCTAGAATATGCTTGAAACAGGATGATAAAGTAGTATGGTTGTATCATATTATATGATTAATCTGTTGTGCAATAATGGAGGTGAAAAGAAAGGAGCTGTAAATAGTACCCTCCATTCAATTGCTCCTTGAAGATCCGATCAAATGCTCCGCATAACTCCAGGATGGTGTATAACTGAGCCTGATATATAAAAGCAATAAAATACAAGTTGATTAACAGAACCTATGAATATCCCAATATCAAGAAATAATAGAGCAATTTAGAGGTTTTATACACTGCAGCAGATGCCGAATCAGTCAAGTCACGAACAAACTATTGATGTATATTAAAATAGGAAGAAAACTTACATCTATAGTATTTGTCCCCTTGTCCATCAAGTCAAGCTTTGGTTAATACACCAAATTCCTTTCACCTAATACAATTAACAATGACTATAATACTATCCTTACACGAAAATCCGATTTCACTGTAACCAGTAGTGATAAAAAAGACAGATACCAGTTGGAAATTGAATCCCAGAAGGTCAAATATTTCTTGGATATTATTCATTGGAAAAAGGGGATTCTGTTAATGAGATGAGTTTGTTGCCTACAAAGACTAAAAAGTTCTGTAATGCTCATTCCAATGGGAAAAATAAACGGACGATAGTGAAATGGAGGTGCGGGGAATCGAACCCCGTGCCTCTCGCATGCAAAGCGAGCGCTCTACCATATGAGCTACACCCCCATGTCGAAGAATTATGAGATATTTTATTTAAAATTATCTAAATAGCTAACACCTTAAAATTTGAAGCCATCATTTTATATATAATATATATATGTGTGTGTGTTTGTGTGATTCAGAGTGGATTCTTTACATGGTCTAAAACAGAATTACGAGAAGTAGGGCATAAAGGATAACAACGCTAACCGTGTTTCTATTGAGACAAGAGTTACTTTCTTCAAAACAAAGGGGTCAATCATTTTCGCACTAACAGGTGATCAAAATGAGCAACATATTACAATGGATAAATCAGTCCTTAAGAGAGTTCTGAAACCATCAAAGACCCCGGCCATCGGCCGTTCTAAAAATTTTTATGAGGATGGACACACATATAAAATTTTTGATACAATAAAATTTCAGGATAGGCACACATACAATACATTAATGAAAAAAAAAATCGATTTTAAAAGAAGAAAATTCGAATTCCAAAAAATTTCAGGATAAACACGTGCTCACCCTAATATCAATGTGATCTACCACTGCCACCGGCTATAAGCTGAGAAAGCCGTCTACCACAGCAAAGAAATATCAAAACTGCAATTCTGAACTTACTATATCCATTTTGTAGATTACTAATTTTACAAACTTTAATAAAGTTTAGTACAATCGAGATTTTAACAATCCAACCGTTGGATCTATTAATATAATTGTACTTATTATACATGTAAATTTTCAAATCAATCCAATATCCTTATGACGTTGATAAAAAAAGTAATGTATTTAACATAAAATATTTAAATGAATAGAACATGAAATTTAACGGTTGAACTGTTAATATATATGAATGATAAAATCCGTGCTTTTGCTACAAAATTGGGTTCCTCTGGATCTTTTGTGTTCAGAGTGCCATGCTTTTAAAACCGTCCAAAGAGACTCCCGATTCATATGACTAGCATTATGGATTTAGAAAGTTAGGTTATGGAATGAATATTTCATTGCCTATAAACAACATTAACACTTGACCTACCGCTCATTCACACAGACTGTAGCACAAGTGACGTGAAGGAAGCACCTCGCACCTGCATAAGGACTAAAAGTTGCCAAAACGCCCTCCCCCACGACCCATTCTTCGTTCAACTTTATTTTTCATATTTACTACCAATATTTAAAAAGTTACATTTTAGTCACAAACATTGTATTCACCCAATCGTTTACTCTCGTACAGGAGTTACAAAACCTGAATTGTGAAAAAAATTGTTTAATAACTAATCTGATCCACGAACTTTAGGGTTCGGTTGTATTGTTTGATCGGGTTGTGTCTCTCTGTAAATTTACAACCCTCTTCTCGTTGGTATGAAGAGCCATGTTTGCTTTGTACAGGGCCTAAGAAGAAATAATTACCCGCAAAAATTGCAGTATTTCCTTTTTGAATAGAAGTTTATATTCATCTTGAAAAGTGAAAATATCTAAAATTATAATAAGAGTTTACGTAACTATTATCCTAAATTAAATACATAATTTGGACATTTTCATATAATATTGATACAATAAACTAGCTACTTAGATCATATAAAGAGCACACATGGAAATGATTAAAAACCAACCAAAAAACCTGAATAAAATTAGATATGAACAAATTTGGTTGCATCGGCAAACGAACCACAAAAGCGATTAAACTATTAAAAGACTACCGAGAATCATAAATCAGAATCGAACATCTTGAGAAACTATCCACAAACGCAAAACCCCATATCCAAATTTAATATGAGAGTTCAAAGTAGAAAAGATCAATAAAATTACAAATAAATGTCATCTTGATATGTTATAGTGTGGTCAAATCCAACAATGAGAAAAAATCAAAAACTCTTAAATTTGAAAAGTGGAGAAAACCACAATGTCCAGCATATTATGCGTACACTACAACATAAAGAGAAAATGAGAGGAAGAGGGAGGAAAGAAAGGACAAAATAAAGGAAAAGAAAAAATACCCTTTTTTATTCATATCAAAACAAAGTTGCTTTGATTAACTGGTTGTTTAAGAGAGAGAAGTTATGAAAATGATTAGGATGATGATGATTAGTTTTTGGTTTAGGGTCAGTACAAAGAAAAAATGATGCAAGATGGGTTGATTGATGTCATTGACGGTCATAAAATATCAACAAAACGATGATATTAGTGGCAAAGAGACGAAGGTTCAATATTTTATTTTAAAAGAAGATGGGTGATCCATGTGGGTCAACAGACTCAGATTTAGTGACGAAAAAAATCTGTTGATCACAACCCCTCGTCGAGCCCACACTTGAGAACGCCTTGCAGAGACCCCCTGTAGAGACACCTCGCAAAAGACCTCTGCTCCTGTCTCCATCTTATTGCGTGGACCACACTCGTTGAACACTACATCCCATCTGGGAAGCCATTGTATCTAGACCTATGAGGCAAGGCCAATTGCCCCAGGAGCTCCAACCATGTGGCACCTCAAGACAAAGAAAAACCCCACATATATAAGCCATTGCTCTGCTTAGAGGCTTGAATGACCCCAGACATCACCACTCTTCAGCCTTCCCGCCAAATCAACTACCTTCTTCCTCCCTACTTTCATACCTGTCCAAACTACAACATTTTATGGCTCTCCACCTTCTACAGGGTGAACCATCGTTGACCGCGACAAACACAACACTCATGTATGGAAGGTATGAATTATGTGCAGTTTATTTAAAGCTTAGAGTGAAATCATGGGCAGTGATACTTCAAACATAGAAACTAACAATATGACCAATATCATTAAGAATAAACATTAATAAAGTACTTTAGATATTCAAATAGGAATCAGAGAAACAGGCCTTAGTTCAATTGTCTTTCTCTGTGTTTATTCAATTAAAATAGTGTCGCCCCATTTTTAGTTAGTTTAACCGTGGGCCAATGTCATTAGAAAATTGAAGTCCCAAATCCCAATACTGTAATAAGAAAAAAAAATGGGAAAATTAGAAGTCCATGAAATTATTTTCCCTGTTGAACCTTCATCATACGATCAGAAACAGCCACCCAACTGCCAAAAAGTGTGTCGGCAAAGGATCAATATAATGTCAAAAAAACTAAAACAGGGAGGGGGAATCGAAAAAAGAATCATTCTTCCAGTATTATTATTATATATAAAATAAATTGGTTTCAAGCACTTAGCATGACAGACATTTCTCACAACAGAATAAAAGAACAAAGAGGGAAGACCATATCATACAAACAGTTTTACAAACTAAACATATACTACCAATTCATGCCCACAACCAGACACCATAGAAAACTAGCAACATTCTTTATTGGCCAAGTACACTGGCACAAAACAAAAATGATATCCCAAAGCTTTATTTAATACGACTTCAAAGCATGATGAGCAGAAGCACTAAATTCCCTGTTGAATTGATCTCTTATAAGTCAGGTTAGTGTTCCTGAGTCGTACAATGCAGTTAAAATCTACCCAAAAGTTTCATTTTCCTAAGAATATTCGTTTCAAACCTATGTGCTCAACACAGATTAAGATCTAGGCATAGGGTACGATGTTCCAAAGATATAAAACAACTCCATGTAACATAGGTTAGCATAAACATCCAATAGAAAAAACACTAAAATATAGGCAAAAAGGAGGGGTTCGCATACCAAAATAGCCTCCATTTCCTCATTGGAAACAGGTGTTCTTTTGGGTTGAAGAGAAGCTTTGCCTCCAACAGTTGAAGGAGCCTTAGAACTGGAGAAGAAAGTTAGATCACCATCACCAGTTTTGCCACCAGTTTGAGACTGCAATCCAGAATCTGCAAAAAAAAAAATCAATTTCTTCTCTTACTTTATTTTTCATAAAACCCAATTAATTGCATTGTATTTTAACGCCCTGATCAGCAAACAAGGTTTAGAACAAGTTGGCTAACGTTTAAAGATTCAGCCCAAAAAAATCAACCCCCCTTTGTTAAATAATAAAATATAAATACCATAAAACATATAAAAAAGAAAGAAGAACTGAGATTTAACAACACATGAAGACATCGACGAAGATGAAGCATTCAATGGATCAATGGACAGGGGGAATACCAGAAGATTTTAGATGCCTTTGGGGGAATTTGATGCGAGGGATTCTCTTCATTGCTTGCGCTACGCCCATCTTCTTCTTTGCAATGGGATTTCGGGAAGAAGTCTGGCGGTGATTTTCAATTAAAGAATTTAGTTTGCGGTTCCAAAGACTTCTCGTTTTCTAGAAAAGAAAGCGGCGATGTTTCGGGAAGGGAAAAGAGAGCGAAAATATTAAAATTGATTTCTGCTTTCAAAATAAACAAACGCGTTATACAACGAAATAATCAAATTATTTAAGATTTTTTTATTTCATATTTCTAAAAGGCCAAAAAGACGAGGTCTATATTCTTTTGAGAAAAATTAACGTGACTCTTTAATTTAAAAAAAATTAATAAAAAATTTGACTAACGTTTTCTGTTATTGATTATTATAGTATTGATGTGGCAGTTTATATTGAGATAATTTTTACTGTGTTGATAACATGACAAATACATAATAAATGAACTAAATTTATTTTTTGATTTTGTTCGAGAGTCAAATTGATTTTTTTTAAATATAAAAGGCTTATTTAATTTCTTAAAAAATAAAGTTATTTTAAATTTTAAATACAAATTATTCAAATATTTTAAAAAATAAATATTATTAAAAAATAAATTACTAAGAAAACTAAATATACATATTAAAAATACTTAAAATATATATATATTTTATATATATATATATATATATATATATATATACATGTAAATATAGACATATCACCAACACTTATACAAATTATTTTACTGGATTAATCGAAACTTACAAAATTTAAAATTAGTCAAGTCTTATAAATTTTGGATTAGTCAAAATTTACTATGTTTTCTAATTATATTTTATGTCAAAATTCATTATATAATTACCTTTTAAAATAGTCGAGACTTATAAAAAGATAATTAAAAACATAATAAGTTTCGACTAATTTAAAAGTTATAAGTTTTGGCTACTTTAAATTTGTATTCTAGTAAAAATACTTTGTATAAGTGTTAATGCTACTCATATATGTTACATATATATGTTATTTATAATATATTTTTTAAAAATAATTTTTATTTTTTAATAGTTTATAAGTAATTATTTTATAAACTATTATCTATTTTCATTTTTAAATCTATAATAATTTTAGTATTTTAATATGTGTATTTAAATTTTTAATAATTTATTTTTTATATTTAGTATTTTTATATTTAATATTTTGAATATTTGAATAATTTTATATTTTATAATTCAAAATAATTTTATTTTTATAAAATTAATGAGCCTTTGAACTTTTTTAAAATATCAATTTGGCCTTTGAACAAAATCAAAATATCAATTTAACAAATTTATTATGTCATTCACCACGTCATCAATCATATTAGATTGTCACGTTAGCACCGTGAACTGTCATGTTAGCACTGTAACAATTAACGACAGAAAACATTGTTTAAAGGACCTCACTGAATTTATTTTCTGAATTTAAAGGTGACACTAAGAAAAAAATAATATGAAGATTACATTGATTTTTTTAAATATGAGACATCTGATGTTTTTTTTTTTTTTTTTGTGAATAAACGAGAGAAAACAAATTGCCGAGATCAACCAGTGATCAACATAGCCGACTGAGGGGTATCCATCAGCAAAAACCGCTCAAGCTCCACGGGTGGTGTCGTGAACACCCTGCTCACAAGCCTTCCTGAACCGGCTAGTTTAGCAAGTTGACCAGCAGCTCCATTAGCATTCCGGCAGACATGGGCGAACCGAACAGTCCAATCCTTCCTCAGCAAATCAAACACCCTGTCGAGTAGGGTAAAGGAGACATGAGCCTGCTTTTTCTTCTCCAAGAGGCTAATAATCTCTAAGCTAACAACCTTCACAATAACGTTTCTTTCGCCAAGATTCCAAGCATGTGATAAACCTTCGAAGACCCCCCAAAAAAAACTTCAGCTTCCATAACCAAGCAAATCCCGATTTGTTTCGAAAATCCAATCATCCAAGCACCTTGCCAGTTCCGGATAAGACCCCCACACGAAGTATAACCCGTAGTTCTGTCCTGGGCACCATCCGTGTTAACCTTGCACCAATTACGGGTTGGTGGATCCCATCGAGCTGGAACACTCTGAGCCCGACTCGCAATCGGCCTAACATTCGGGGAGGACTCCAAAGCTTGAAGAGCTACCTTTGTAGCCTCCTGCTTTCCATCAAAATGCTCTCATCCTCGAAGTGTTCTGAATCAAAAATACGCCAATTACGATGCAGCCATATGGACCATATAATAGCGCCGAAAAGAATATCCCAACCATTCTCCTCACGGCATATACTCCCGGCGATGAAAGATTATTGTAAATCCAATTTTTAATGCCCCGGAAAGGAAATCCGAGAGTTTATCTCCTTTAACAACACAAGACCAAGTTGCGCTCGCTAGAGGACATTTCCGAAAGAGATGATCAATCGTTTCCCCTTGCCTTCCACAAACTCCACAAGATCATCCATGCTCATGTGCCGGCAAACCCTTTTCGCATTGGTGAGAACACGCTCACACGCTACCAACCAAAGAAAAGATTTAACCCGTTGAAGGCCACAAGATTTAACCAAAGAAGAAAGTTTATTAATGCTGAAGTTTTTTATATATAATTATAAAATGAAATTATTATTAATAACATTTATATTCATAAATTAGTAGATACGAGAAACTTAATTTTGTGAAAAAAATAGTAAAAGTAGTAGAAAAAAATTGAAAATGTTGATTTCTCTTCGAATATATATAAATCTAATCATACTAAAAAAATAGAAATAGAAAATATCATATATCTTTCGCTTTTGGCAGATAACAAGGGACAGAGACACATGCCCTGTTCAAAGCATCCGGTGCCGAAACAGATGGTCTTTTCACTCTATTAAAGTTTTTATTCAACTTTAAGGATAGAAGGCTTAATATACTATTTGGTACCTGAACTTGTTATTATTCTTATAAATGTTATATTTGTGTTTTTTTTAGATAATTTGGTGCTTATATTTGTCAAAAGTTTTATATTTGGTACCTGTATTTATTAACCGATGTTAAATTTATAAATGTATTATGAATGCCACATTTAAGTAAAATAAATCATTTCATTTTAAATTTGTTTATTAATTACTTTTGGATTATTTAATATGAATCATTTTGGGTTTGGTTGAAAAATACAAGTATCAAATGTGTAATGTTTGAAAAATAGATATCAAATGGGTTCAAAGCAAAACATAGTTATCACATTTGTATAAAGTGACAAATTTAGGTGTTAAATGTGTAATATTTGACAATTATAAGTACTATATTATAAAAAGTGAAAAATTCAAGTACCAAAGGGATCATTAAACCAAAATAAACTAGAGAATTACGATAAAGTAATATTATGTTAGGGTAAATATGTATATTTTGGTATTTAAACTTGTTAATTTGATTTCTAATTTTTAATTGATTGAACTAAATACCCGAAGTTCGCTTATCGATTCAAAATCAAACTAAAGAAATAGAGTTAATAGCACCAATCGTCCGTAAACTTTGACTCTTATTTTAAATTAATCTTTAAACTTTTAAACATTTCAATTTCGTTTTTAAACTATTAATATATGTTTAATTTTGTCCTTCCGTTAACAAAACTGTTAAATACTCGTCAAAATCCATGTAAGCATTGATGTAATATATAATTATTTGAAATGTCATAAATTATTATTAAATTAGAAAATAAAAAATATTTTTTAATAAAATAATAATTCTCTCAAATCTCAACCTCAACTAAGAAAACGCTCTCCATTTTAAAAACCTCAACCTCGAGTAAAAAAAAATTCAAATCTCTTAATTCCTTCCTAAAATCATAATAAAGAGAGAAAATAGAATAAAGAGAAGATCCATAAAGGAGAGGAGCGTTCGCCCAACTCTAAATCATCCATCTGTGCGATCCCTAATTCATCCTCTCTTTTTTTTGGGTTCTATAGGAGGTGAACTTCAAGGCTTCCTTTGGACCAGACTCAATCAATTGATAGAACTTTTTGATTGAAGTTGATGGCAGCATGATGAATCTAGAAATGATAATCCATGGTTTAAGAGGTAAGTATTTTAAAATAGTATTAATATTTTAGTTAATTTTAAAAATTTAACTTTACTGTTTTTAATAAATTCAATCTAAAGATTTAGGATTTTATTTAGGGTAAATTATACCAATGATCACCCCTTTGCCCTTTTTCATTTTGACCACCACTCTTTTTTATCACTACTTTTGAAATTTTGTCAATTAGATCATCCAATTATTTAAATACATTCAATCAAGTCGTCCGTTGTTAACATTTAACACCTAAATTTGTCACTTTATACAATTGTGGTAACCGTGTTTTGCTTTGAACCCAGTTGGTATCTATTTTTCAAACATTACACATTTGATACTTGTATTTTTCAACCAAACCCAAAATGAATAGTGCCATTACTTTGACGGAGATGATGATGTGGTAGTTAATAAAATTGGTATAATTACACACTTGGCCACTCTTACTTATATATTATATCAATATAATCCTAATTTTAATAAATTAAAATAAAATTCATCCTCCAATCAAATAGTGACATATGTCACCATTTAATTTGAGGATTAAATTTAGGGTAAACTACACGGGTGACCACCTAACTATGGTCAAAATCTTTTTGACCACCAATGTTTCGATTTAATCAATCAGACCACTCAATTTAAATGGTTCAATCAAACCACTCTCCATTAAAAAATTAACGTTGCGTCTGACGTTTTCCATAACCTTTTCTATTTTCATGTTGGATATGCATCTGTAACACCCTAAACTCGTTTAGGACTAAAGTGCCACATTAGGCTATTATGGTAACCTCTGATTTTCAAAACATGTTCATTCTCATTTCAAAACATACTACATGGTACCAAAATAAATATATACAACAGTTATAAAAACACTTTTTTAAAATTGGAGCTTTGTGACACATAATTTAAAATCAAAATAGTGCAAACTTTGAGTTCAATAAACCAAATACATGAGTAAGATTTTATGAATACATATGCCCACTCAAGCTACAATACATTACTTTGATAGAGATGCTGGAAGTTCTGCTGTAACGGTGCTCCATGAACTGCCCAAGTTAAAAACCTACAAACAGAAACATCTAAACTCTAAACTTACAAAGCTCAACAGTATAATTGCTAATTTAGAGCAACATTATGAGTCTCATAAACACAA